TTTGTAGGTTTCCACTAGTGTAATTTTTTCCTTTGTTTTTTCCTGTTTTTCAGTAAAATAGTTACTGTAAGCTATATTTATATTTTTACATGCGTGTGTATTTAATTTACTGACGTGAAGACACCACTTCGCTATGGGATTCGAAAATCTAGATAAGTCGATAATTCGGACGGAGTCAAACCACAACTAGTCCGAATTATCGGCGCTCTACTGTATATGAAGACCGGCATTCCAGCGGTAACTAACTTCCTTTGTATTCGTAGTTTTGCTTTCTGGTATTGCAGTAATACACGGGAGGCATATCTTCTTGGTCGTTCCTTTTCTTTCGCGATTCTCTTCGTTCCGTTGCGCTCTGCGATACTCGCTAATCGATAGTGCTTTTATTTGCTCGTTGTTTGACAAGTTAAACCTCTAGAGTTGGGAGCGGTTTACTCGAATTCGTTGCATGCCTTAATGAAAAATGATTGAAAAGTTGATTATTGTGGCATTCTGATGAAGTCGTCGTTTCTACACGCTTTTCCGAGATTCAAATGACAACAATTAACTTACAAAGGGGACCTCGGTGTGGTGAGGTGAAATTTCTGGGCCGGTAATGTTGCCATTGCGTTGTCTTCGACAGTTTTCATGGATCGATTTAATGCTTTCAGACTAACTTTTCTTTATCAAATTGTTGATCTTTGAGGAGTCATCACCTTTTGGTTTCGTCGGTGCGACAGTCCGGCAGATCCACGCACTTGGCGGAACGTAGTCGTCATCCATCACTCAACGCCCGATTCATCACATCCGTTGGCCAGCGCTTGCCGTGGCGGCGGCACCGACGCCGCATGGACTTTTCAAGGCATTATTACGTGCCTAGTTTCATCAGCCCGCACAACTACAGAATGCAGAGGTCAGTGATTGGTAAAGAAACTATCCTTGCTTAAGATGCACAACACTTCGTCGAATTTAACTGCGTGCCGAAGCACAGCGAGACGACGAGTTTGTCAGTACGGTTCTTCTTCCGTCGCTGAGCATCAAAATGGTCGTATTCCCGATCGCAGCTGACTTAACTTTCTTCTGTCGTCCATGTAGCTGTTCACAGCCCTGACACTGTAACCACTTATGGAACGACAGTAGTGCCGTGAACGAAGCACTAGGGGAGTTCGCGATTCCTGTCACTCAAACCCGCATGTTTAGGTTACCTCTTGGGTCCTTTTGTTACTTCGAATTCGTCGATGATTATCATCTGAGTATTCATAGCCGTTGTGAGTATTTAAATTATGACAGGTTGCACGTTTCTTAACGCAGGAACGTAAATGAAATGTTCATCATGTGTCATGTAGATTATCCCTATAAAATCAAGGTGCTACGTCTAGCATGTACATGTTTACATGGTATACTGATGATTTGTAGCCACGCTGAAATCAAGCAAAGATGATTTATTGCGCAGGATGCAACAGCATTAGTAAACGTTGTATCGATGAGTGCCAAGAAATTAGCGAATTACTCGCCTAATTGAGTTTTCTAACAAAATCGTTTTCCAAAAAACTTGGCTTCTACTTTGATACAGCTTCGCTGATAGGCAGGCTGTTAAGTAGATTGTCGTCCGCTTTACTCCTTTCACGTGGTGATGGGACGGATAGGTAGAAAAGATAATGTTTATGCAATCGACTCGTTGCTTATGCAAAGTTCGCCATAGCATAAGTCACCTGACGATAACTTGTCAGCTTAGGATGAAGTGTCTTTGATGCTTGGAGATTCCAGTGTAGGCCTACTGAGGTGGATCAGCTATTTTACTGTTTTATTTATTTACATTGTTTCTTCACACTTCCAATTTAGCTTCATTGTTTTCTAATCCAAGTGTAAGCGACTATAAGCTACAAAAACAGCGATGCATCGCAAATCGCGCAATTGAAAGAAAGCTCGCTACTCGGGCAAAATGTGAACATTTCCCGGTTTAAACGATCCTTTCGCGGTGATGATGTGACAAACTGCGATCTTGGTAAGGGATAGTAACATGAGGGAACGACAGAGACGTGCTTCCAGCTGAGTTGTCGTCAACGACCTCTGTGACGACCAGCCAAACGAAAGACCTCTTTGTCTATATCGTTTCAATTTTATTCGTGTATCTATTAGTAGCTGTTCACTCGTATCGCGAATTGAATTCTCAAAGGG